TAAACTGCTCCAATTGCACAGCAAAAATTCCCAGTAATGAAAGACACAGTCAAAGACGGGTTATACTGCTAGTATATAGTTAAAATGTTCACAAGATTGGACCATTTTAAAAAAAATTGCAAACATTCTTCATTAATGTATTTATACTATGTGCTAGTGTTATATTCCATGCTAATAGGAAATATACTTGAAAAAACAAGGTGGATAAAATAAGTAAAGTTTTATTGTAAAAAACCAGTACAATAAGAATAAAGGTAACAGTTATGCACAAGGTCGATGCAAGTCAATCCAGTAGTGAGTGCTACTATTGGAAGGTTGGTAGTTTTTGCTTAAGTCTGAGTCATACTTAACAGATCCCAGCTAGTCTCTGTAGTTCATTGACTTACAGATACTTATAGGTAGTTACTACCTATAGTGTAGTCACTCATGGGGGTGACAGGTTATTCCATTACATCAGCTAGGAAAATTAAATCACTTAAATTACTCATGCTTCCTCATAATTTGTATTATGAGAAATTTAAGGTTTCACTTTCCAGGCAGCACTAGGTTAGATTATACTCCATGGAAGTGTGGTTCTTCCAGAGAAAAAAAAAATTGTCTGTAGAGATTTTCTTGTGGTCACACAAGAGCAGGTGTCATAATCGTTACAAACTTATCTAGATATGACTTAGAAAGAAATAAGTTACCTCCCTTACTTTTCAATTTTTTTTTAATTTTTTTCTCAATCTATTAGAGAGATGAAATTTATTTGTTATGAATACACTCCAACATGTTGTGCAGGATCAGTGATGTTATTAACTTGGGGGTCATGACAAGTTTTGGGTTTTTCAACATCATACCTGTTCACCCAAGAGACTCTACTGGAACAATAGCTATTCTGGCAGGCAATACTGAAGAAAATTTTCACTAAGCACACAAGAACAGACATATTAAATAACTGACACTGCTGATCTTGAAATAGCAAGCAACCAATCAGAAATGCCCTACATCACTTCCTCCTCAGCCAAGATGACACAAAAAGAGAACAATCTTAATGCTTGTTTTTCCCCTCTTAGGTCCAAGACTCGGAAAGACCAGATAGATAGAAAAGCATTTTCATTAATTCAACAGATCAAACAAATAAAAGAAAAACCCATACCCACAACCTGCTAGTTTAAACACGATAGTTGGTGTTTACATTACAATTAACTTTTTAGAGCTATTCAATAAGAATAACTTCACTGTGTGTGAAACATGACTGTCCTTGATATATTACTATTGTTATAACCTTAGGCATTTGATATGAATACATTCCAACGGGTGCACAGAATCGCCTCATCCGTGATGTTATGACTTGGGGGTTATGACAAGTTTCTGGTCTTTCAACATCATACTTGTTCACCCAAGCGACCTACCGAAACAATACCTATTCCAGCAGGTGATCCTGAAGCAAATTTCCACCAAGCACACAAGAACAGACATATTAAATAACTGCCACTGCTGATCTTGAAATCAGAAACGCTCTAAGTCACTTCCTCCTCAGCCAAGATGAGACAAAAAGAGAACAAGCTTAATGCTAGTCTTTTCCCTCTTAGGTCCAACATGCAGAAAGGCCCACACGCACAATGAACACTTTGGATGAAATGAGGAAATAAGGGGTTAGAACAGTGGTTCTCAACCTTTTTTTACCCATGGACCCCTTTCCCCTTCTTTTTATCTTGGTGGACCCCTTCATAGCTATTGGACATAAGAACAATTTTCTATTCTTCACTAATATAAATTTTAAGGTTTTAATTATCAAAGAAATAGTATACGATTAAGCTTTATTTTTTAAATGAAAAAACTAATTTAATACAAATAAAATATTCTACTATAATTATAATAATAATTATTATTACTATTTTTAATTAACACAACAATTGTGTTTTTGCCTGTGGACCCCCGGAAATATTACATGGACCCCTAGGGTCCATGTAGACCCCGGTTGAGAACCACTGGGTTAGAATCTTAGCTCTTTAAGAAAGACCTTACTAAAAAACAATGGCTGAAAACAAAATACTTTGACTCAAACAAAACAAATGGTTCCATTTAAAATTCCTTAAAGATTCCTGCAAGTGTTGTAGAATATGTTAGCCACAGTTTAATAAAAACAAAAAATAATGGTGGTGATGCTTGGTAAACAATAAAAATTACTCTTTCAAAATTTAGAAAGATGCAGATTAAGATTATGCATGTAAATATAAACATGATATTAATCTCTCAGCACCTGCATAAAAATGGCTAAACTGAACAAAATATTTAAATGCCTTGTCTTTAATCTCAATTATGATGTTAAGCATTTTGCAAAATAATCTGTTGTCATATCATTTGGACTGTTGTCCTCATTTTTATTGCCATATTTACAATGTTTCAGCTGTTGTACATTCCGACCTTCATTCAGATGATATACATTGGAATTTCAAACCCTTTATTTAGTCCATGGAGGTAGATTGTTCTAATTCTATGTGCTGTGCCTTTTTGGGGTATCTCAGGCTCAGTAAATACCCTTTTGCAGCGTAAATGAGCTTGTATTCCTCTGACATCGCACGTACAACACTAAATACTTCTTTTTCAATTCGCCCTTCTGGATTTCTTGCACATGTTACCAATGTAAAAATCATTCCGCTTCTCACTGCTTCAGCCCTCTATTATCATACCAACACCATGGCTGATTGACCAATTAGCGTTCTTCACTTTGTCCTCAGTTACCCAGTTAAATGGCATCAAATCAGCAACCAACTTGCTATTGGTTGAACCATGCTAAGCTGTACAAAAGCCACCATTACAGAATATACACTTCTCGAATAATCTAAAGTGGGGAGGGAAGATTCATGCCATTTTCAAGGAATAAAATTCCACTGCTACGTGTCATGTATTGAGGTAAGGAACTTATTTTCCTTTGCACCAGATGCAAGCTACTCTGACTCACTTGCTTCTATGTAATTGTTCACCACACCTTTAGTAACTTAATTCTCAAAGTAAAGTTTTTGTGGCCATGTCTGCTTTTATATACTGGGCCATATGTCCTACCCAATTCATGGACAGAACTCAATTACTATGCCACCAAATTCACAAACCAATGTTTTAATCCATTAGGCTGTGGTTTCTGTAGAAGAGAAGATGATTTACTTTGTGTGGCAAAGCGAGCACATATATGCAAAATGAGTGAAGGAAAGGAAAAAGAAATATAGCTGCCTTAACACCTTAATTTAAGAAAGACAGTCCTGGAGTTAGGAGAATTGACAAGAATTGTTGGGCATATGTAAATTTTTGCAAGATAATCTCGGCATAAAAAACACCATTCAAGAGAGAATAGTTTGTTTGTGAATGTGGTGTTGCTTATACAGAGAGACTTTGGCAGTTAGAAAGAGATTACTTGGATCAGTTTCACATAGTCTAGTCTCACAGGTTATAATATAAAAAATGGATAGGAGGCAAATTGTTTATATTCTATCATAATGCTGAGTGGATTTCAGCAAAATACTAATTGATTGATTGATTGATTGATTTGTTTTTTAAAGCTTATCAAACTTTTGCAGGTTATTTAATGCCAACATATGTTTTTGGATTCTAAGAATTTTTTTTGAGAATTATTTTATGATATAAGTCCAACTATTTAACTAATAGCTGGGGGTTGAAGAAGTGCATTCCTACCTTTCCCAAGGGTATTTGTGTATAAGTAAATATAATGAAAATGAACCTGACTGGAATGGGAAGCCAACTTTCCAATTTCTCATTTTGAGCTGTTGTTGCGGACCTGGTAGCGTGCAGTGCTGGTTTATTAAAAAGTGGCCTTGGTGCCAGACACTACACAAAACTACCGATTCCACAAGCAAAGTAAAAATATATTGCGTGAGTGAACTTAGTGAGGAAAAGGGGTCATTCAACAAGTGCATAAATTATAATACAAGTAGATAGCCGGAATTAAATGACAAAAGGCGTCTGGTTGAAAAACATACATGAAATTTTATTATATTTAAACAAGTAAATGTCTTGACAGTTGAGACCATTAGTAAAAGTGTTCCACAAAAACAGAAAAACCAAGATGGCTAAATGGGAAAAAGTTTCATCAGAAAGAAAGTTCTGGAAAAATGACTTGTTAAACGAAAGGTGAATGTGTACACAAATAGGAAAAGTACTCACTGAAGTTTGATAGTGTGAGTGTATGTAATATTTTTTTAGGTATTGGTTCAAAGTAGTTAGGAGGTTCAAAGGTGTATGAACAGATTATCAACTTTCATTGAGGAGAATTCAGAGTTGTTTGCATCAAGACGAGGTTGAGTCTTGGAATGGTGTAGGTCAACCGTGTTGTAGTGAATAGAGGAAAGTTCGAAATTTTGTTTGCATCAAGATGAGGTTGAGTCTTGGAAAAATAAATATTGACGACGGTGTCGTAGGAACTAGACATTTTCTTGTTGAAAATGGAGAAAAGGTTCAACAAGCTGTTGCATCAAGACGGGGATAAGTCTTGGAAAATATATATTGACGACGGTGTCGTAGGAACTCGACATTTTCTAGTTGAAAACGGAGAAGGTTCAACATGCGGGTTGCATCAAGACAAGTAGTTGGGTCTTGGAAAAATGTAATATCGACATGTTGAAGTTTTAGTTAGTTAAGAATAAGATATTCCGGCCCGCATATGGGTTAGGGGCATGGAATAAATGAGTTGTCCATCTAGCTTGAAAATTGGGATGCAACTGAGTTGGAAACGCTGGACGTCTGTGACGTCAAGAAACGCGTGGGAAAAAATTCAAAATCCGTCCTAGACAGCTATCAGGAGTAGCCAGCAAGGTCAAAGTCGACAACAAAAGGATGGCTACTGCTATGTCTAATTGAACGGGAGAGGAAGGGTGTGCAATCCGCGCACGCATGCACAAATGTGGTAGGAAGGGAGGAAAACTCGTGCGCGCGTAAAATGTAGGTGGAATTACTGTGTTATTCCACACTGTTACCTATTACAGCACTCACACATCACATCCAAGCTTACATCACCTGGTATTCCCAAGCAGTCACCCATCTAGGTACTGACTAGACTTGACATTGCTTAACTTCAGTGATTGGATGAGAACCAGTGTTTTAGTGTGATATGCTTTACAAGCATGATAGATATATAATAGTGTGATATGCTTTACAAGCATGATAGATACATAATGTCTTTTGGCATGATAGTGTGATATGCTTGTAAAGCATATCACACTATCATGCCAAAGACATTAGAATCTTTTTCAAAACAAGAACTTTTCATTATTAAAAAGTTGGCAAAAGATATTTTAGCTTTATTTGTATGAAATAAAATCATATTTAAATTTTTTTATAATCTGTTCTTTGAAAGAATTGTTAACTTGATTTGGTCCGAGTGAATCAAGTTGATGCAGAAAATTATTGAAGGAATGCTATTACCCACAATAAGCAGATACCCCTCACAATTTCCATCCATCCTTTAGGAATATTTGATTTATCAGTATATACATGGATAACATAAGATGGTTTTTATAAGATGCTGTCAAAGTATCCATCCTATGTTTGACATATTCAGATTCTGGGGTTTTATAAGTAATATTTTTTTTTTTAAATATCCAAAACTTAAACTCAGAAGAAAAATGATCATTTTTTTTTTTTTGCAAGACATGGTATTTGATTGGTGAAGACAGTTCTGACATTCACAGACGAACAAACACTAATCAATAACCTGTGAGATAAAACTGATAAATATGGCTTTTTCACAGTTGTACTTTATGGAATGGAAAAAAATTTTCAGCACAAATTGATCATTTAGTCAAGCAGTTTTCTTTAATGTTAGCAAATTTTTGTCTTTTTAGTTGCTCAAATTTGAGAAAAAGCTATAATTTTTTTTGATTGAATCACATATTTTGTCTTTAACTGATTCCATGTCTTTAATTTTAAAAATGTCTGTCGATGACTCATGAGAAGAGTCAGTGTGGCAAATTGCACAAGAAACCAATACAATTTCTAATTATGTGTGTGTGTGTGTGTGGGGGGGGCTTTGGCCAAGTGGTTAGAATGTTTACTTTACAGCCATGAGACCCAGGTTCAAATCTCACCATGGTTGATTTGTCAGGAAGGTGACTTCTTGCTGTTATCAATCTGTGGAGGCAATCCCAGCATGTAACACCTTTAAAAAGTGTCTGAAAAGCAAACCACAGGTTGACCAAAGCCTTGTGAGGTGAAATTAGGTAGATGGAACTATTTGGGAGCTGACAATGGCTGTGCTAGCACAAAGTCACAAGTCATCGTGACCGAAAGTTTGAGTGTGTTGGCCTTATTTGGACTGTTGATCATGCAAGATAATTCATTCTCTCCTAGAATTTGTAATTAAGGTTCACTCAATATAGTTGCAGTATAAATTACAGGTGGGCTCTGTGGTGTTGAACAAATTCTAATGAGCTTGAGCAGGCATCTGCAACAGTGATTGTTTAGCTGCCCTAATAGACAAGCATACTTGGATATGAGCAGCCATAATAATAATAATTGGTATAAGTAAATAAATGGAGCATTCCATATTATTTATGGAGTTTGTTTAAAAAAAAATAAATAAAAAAATAAATAAAAAAAAATTAAATTAAAAATAAGTAAAAATAAATGGGAAAAGAAAACCCGTAAATAATATGGACTGCTCCACTATTACTACAGCTTGGTGTGTATATATATATATATATATATATGTATACACACACATACAAGTATATAATTGGTATATACTGAATGAATTCCAATAACCAACAATTACTATTCTTAAAAGAGTGCTCAATACAAAAGAGCAGATATAATTAATAAAAAATTAAACATAAGTATGTTATAAAATCACTAAAAAATAGCCATTTTGTTTCAACACGGCTATTTTTGTAGTGATTTTATAAATATACTTATGTTATAATTTTTTATAAATAATAATTTATATATATATATATATATATATATATATATATATATATATGTATATGTATATATATTTTACATGTATATATATATATATATATATATATATATATATTGTGTAACAAAAATTTTAATCAACACCTGAATATTGCATTGTGCATAAGACTCAGAGTTGTGCTATTGGTGAGCTAAAGAATATATATCATTAATATATAATAGCTCTGTTATTATACATTGAGCACTATTTTATTAGCTCCAGCACTCAATGTGCAATATTATATATATATATATATATATATATATATATATATATATATGTGTGTGTGTGTGTGTGTTATGAAATGGATGAAATCAACAATTATTTTGAGACATTTTTATGTTTATACATTCTTTTTATAGATACAAATATTTAAGTAAATGCTCTGTTTTATAATAAACAGTATTAATAACATTTACCAGCCTGAATGTTCGAGAAATTTTCATAGAAAATATTTGTCTTCCGACAGGAATCAAACCTGTATCCTATACGGAACAGTCATATAGCCTGACATGCCTTAAGCGATCGAGCCATTTCATAATGTGTGACGTCATTTGTTTACATTTGGATATGCTTTGAGCAGATATGAATGTACGTGAGAGATTCATGGAAGATTGAAGTTTAAAGGCAGTAAAATCGATCTTGCTAATCGAACGATCATCCATGGCTCGATTGGTTAAGTCATGTCAGGCTATATGACAGTTCCGTATAGGATACAGGTTTGATTGCTGTCAGAGGACGTATATTTTCTATTAAAATTTCTCGGACATTCAGGCCGGTAAATGTTATTAATACTGTTTATTATAAAACAGAGAATTTACTTAAATATTTGTATCTATAAAAAGAATATATAAACATAAAAATGTCTTAAAATATATATATATGTTTGTGTGTGTCTGTGAGAGAGAGAGAGAGAGAGATAAAATCATGAGAAAGCCTGTAAAATAGAGCTTTGTCACAAATAACAGAATATGCACTTGCTTTTCTTTTTGTGTGCATGTGTAAGAGTGTTTTGTTTTTCTTGCCAGCTGCTCAAAGTATGAAATATACACAAAATAAATTTCATTATCCTAATTAATATAATTTCATTTGCGTTATTTTATTATATCAGAGAGTTGAAACGATTTACACAATCATATTTTGTGAAGATTCTCTGCTTATTAATAGATATTTGCATGGATTGTTTTGTTTAGCTTTAGTAAATATTAATTTCATTTCTCCTTAAGGAAAGATAAATGCAAATATAAAAGATGTATTATGGTTTGTGCTTCGCAGGCACATTACAAAATCTGTGCATTATTTAGTTGTTTCAGTGCAGATTAATGGTCAAAAGGTCAAACTTTGTTCTGCTCTTTTAGGAATTTGGTCTTTATAATTTCAGCAAAGTGCAGAAAAAAATGACAAAATATTTTTTAATTATTTTCAGCAAAACAAGCAAAAAAAAAAAAAAAAAAGAAAGAGGAAAAAAAAGCAGTATTTTTTATTCCAATGACATATTTTCATCCTTTTTGTGTTAGCTGATCCATTCTGCAATCTAAGGTGTTTCTGGTGAATAGTTTGAAAAAGCAATTAACAGGTTCCTTGTGAAAGACTTGTGTGTGTGTGTGTGTGTGTGTGTGTATATATATATTGTCTACAAATTATTTAAAAAAAAAATGTTTATGTCTGTATACTGTGGGATATCGAAAAGCATCCATCCCACTGGAGAGCTTTCAATTTTTATATCTCAAATAAAAAAGTCATTTAATGACTAGATTATATATATTTGTCCTTGTGAAATGCTTATTTTCTCTTTCATATCATCTATGCATGTTTGGTTGAAAAACCAATGAATATTTTTTTTATTTCATTTTTCTTCCGGTTGAAACATTTTCCAGTTTTGATCAGAAATTATTAAATGCCATCTAATTGTTTTTAGTTTTCAAAGAATTTTCATCAGTTAATGAGGTTATGTATACATATAAATCATTTCTTTGGTAGCTTTTGAGTATTGGATTGAGTTTTTTAAATATCATATTTTCATTCTTCCACTTGTGGTGCCTTAATGTGAAATATTTAATATGTTTACTTTTAAATTGAATTAAATTACTTATGTTAAGTTAATTTTATGGTTAAGGCTTTTAATACTTGTAACTGTTTTTTTACAGTTTATATGGTATAATATATTGTATTATGGTCAGTATTTATTGGATTTCCTGTTGTGTTATGTTGTTGAAGAAATCTAACAAACTGAAAAATGTGGCATTTTAAGTATTTTCTATGTGTTTTAGACACTTTGATGCTTTATATATTTAGGAAGATTTTAAACCGATTTATAAATGTTATGCCAACTGAATATTTTGAATGCATTTGGTGCATTTTAAAGGATTTGCCTGTTGTATTTTTTTAATTTTTACAGTGATGTTTAATCTACAAGGTCCAAGAGCCACTCAAGCTACAGAGTTAGAGGCACATTTTAAGCAGGTATGTGGAATATCTACAGCGTGATTGAAAAGTAACTCCCCAATTTATATATGAGTGGCCAGCCAGGAATCTTGACTTAATACTGTAACTTTTTCTTTGGAATTGGTTAAAGAAGCAATGGAAGAACATGAAGGGCAAATACAAGAAGTTATGTCTTTGATGCTACAAGAGTTCCAGGTGAAATCAGTTGACGCGAATCCTGGGCGACTCGAGATACTGGTAGCAAAATATGGTACCCATATCAAATTTTAAATAAAAACTCGTGCTAAATGCTTTCTTCTCATAATCATTTCTTGTAAAAATGATAGTTAATAAATAAATTATAAGTATTTTAAAATGGGGAGTTACTTTTTCAATCAACCTGTATACTGATGATACAACAGTATATGGGTGCACCTTCAAAACTTTAAGTGGCCAGAGATTGGCAGCTGATCTTGAACATGTTAAGTAATCAGGAAAACATCCTCTTGGGAGTTAGTTTCAAAGAACAGCAGTTTGTGGGAAGAAGCTGTTCCAGTGGAATTTACATTTTACCACTTGAATACGTTTAGAACTGGAGGTACTAAAGAATGTAATGTGCCTGAAAATTTTTCATGAAAATAGTCATTGCGACATTTCATCTATGAGAAAAATAGAAAAATAATTTGTCATCCACAAGTATGCAGCACTCAGTCAAGACTGGAAAGTGAAGATTGTGTAGCTTCTGCCCATATATGGCAGCAATACTCTATTTTTAGGCCTGATCTGGCTCTTGTAAAGGTAGAGGATAGCATGAGGAGTCAGGTACTTACTGGAGTGGTAAAAGAGACCAACCATTTTTTCCAGCATCTTTAGTGATGAATCGTATGTACAAGACCAACTTGAGGTCTGGTTTTAGTTTAAGGTCCAATAAACACTCAAGATATGGGGCCTCCCTGAGGAAACATCGATTCATTGTGAATAGTAATAGTTCAGGGTCCGATCAACAATAATGGAATGTTTGGGTTTAGAGGCATTGAACATAACCAGTCAGTTCCCCGCCCCCCCAACTGACATGTTAGAGCTAGGTCATAGGTCAAATGCCGATCCCTGGCCATCTAGAGTTTTGGAGGTGCACACATATACTTTTTTATCAATAATATATTCATAAATGATCAGATTATTTATGTAAAGTAAAGAGTGTTGAGCTGATAAGTGACCCCTGGGATTCTTGTATTTATTGCTAGGGAAATTTAAATAAAACCAAAAAATAAAATAGAATTAAAAAAAAAAAAAATTCCCATAATGCAAAGTATAAAGAAAACAGAAAGAATCTTTGGTCACATGCTCCATTTTATGACCCCACTTCCAGAAAGAGCAGAATCTTTTCTCTTTCCACTTTCCAATGACATCCCTACTTATGAAGTAAGTAAATTGTTGTTTCAACTCAGTGTAAAGCTGACTTGAACTTTAACTATTTTAACCATTGTTATCTCAACTTCTGAACCAAAATAGAAAATGGACATACCCAAGAGATCTTGAGAACTTTATTTCACTCCTGTCACCATAAAAAGAACAAATGTTTGTAGCAGAAACTCAAATTTTTGTATGCTTATATCTTCTTTGATTACACATTAAATATACACCTTCACCTAAAATACACACAAATCCTACAACCTTTTAACTTCCAAAGAGCCCTGGTGAACTTGCCATTAACAAGGACTTTATAATTGAAAAATATAACTGTTTTTTTCTTAAATCAATTTTACTAATTTCTTTGGTAATGTCTAATTCTGGAAAAAAAAAAATTGTTTCTTTTTTTTTCTTTTAACCATAGAACCTTATTTTCTTAATTTCTTCTGAAGAAAAACTGTGTAGGTAAATCTGACAGCAAAGCTGTCATAATATGAGACATTCAAAACTCAAGTTTCACTGTCTCAAAATGGGAAAAATTACCCTTTAAAAGAAAATGTCTAAATTTAGTAGAAATCCATATCAAGCCAAATAGGATGCAAGTGACATTAAGCAATAAAGTTCTAATTAACATAAGTAAATTAATTACAAAATTCACAGAACAAAAGTAATTGTAAATAAAGATATGAGAGATAAACAGCTCCTGATTAAAAATGTAATTAGGAACATTAGTGGAAATTCTGTAGATGTATTCTTATGAACTAAATTTATTTCACAATGCAAAATATTTTTAAATGTAACGTCCTTAGATGATTTACATAAAATAACAATGTTTCGTAATATACATATTTGTGGTGAATTAACATTTGTTAAAAAAGTATCAATAAATTAAAGAATGCAATTAAATATAAGGAAAATTAAATATATATATATATATGTATGTATGTAAACAATTAAAAAAATATAAACTTGCTGCTGCTCATCAAATTGCATACAAGAGCAGGGTTGATGTCTACTTAGGATCAGAATTGATATAATTATGTTTCTGGAAGCAAGGGAAAAAAAACAAAACAAAAAAACACCTAATCAACATTTAATTGTGCAGATATTTTTTTTTTTTTTTAAAAAGATTTCTATTGCTTTATTTTATTTCTGTAATTTGTTACACCAAATACTTTTAGATTACACTTTATATCATTTCTTTTTTAGAATCTATTCTTTTCTCATAAAAATATGTGGGTGAACGATGTGGAGAGAAGACTTGTTGTTGTATCCATGACAACATCAGGAATTACTTCAATGTATATGGATAATATTATAATAATAATAAAGATGATGATGATGATGACATTTTTCCAGAAGCTGTTTAAGCAGTTGTTATTTTTCTGACAGTGTTACACTTGATTGTATCTGTATTACTTTGCCCATCAGTAAACTGTAAATTAATGTTAGTCGATGTTGTGCCAGAGTTTATCATGAAGATGTTATACCTTCATTTAATAATGTGACATTCTCAGAGAAATATAAATAACTTTTGTATTAAGACACAAATCTTGAAGTTGAGAGAGATGAAAAGGATTGATAAAGTAGGAAGAAAAATGAATGAAAATAGGTGAAAGAAAATATGAAGAAAAATGAATGAAAAAAATTTCAAAGTAAAAACAAAGATAGTAAAGAAAAAAAAGCAATTCTTAAGATGAGAGAAAAGAAAAAGATGAGAGAAAAAAAGAGAAAAGAAAAAATGAGAAAAAGACGAGAGAAAAGAAAAAAGATGAAAGAAAAAGACGAGAGAAAAGAAAAAAGATGAAAGAAAAAGACGAGAGAAAAGAAAAAAGATGAAAGAAAAAGACGAGAGAAAAGAAAAAAGATGAAAGAAAAAGACGAGAGAAAAGAAAAAAGATGAGAAAAAAGATTAGAGAAAAAAGATGAGAGAAAAGAAAAAGTTGAGAAAAAATGAGAGAAAAAGATGAGAAAAGAAAAAGATGAGAAAAGAAAAAGATGAGAGAAGATGAGAGAGAAAAGATAAGAGAAAAAAGATGAGAAAAGAAAAAAATGAGAGAAAAGAAAATGATGAGAGAAAAGAAAAAGATGAGAGAAAAGAAAAAGATGAGAGAAAAGAAAAAGATGAGAGAAAAGGATGAGAAAAAAGAAAAATAAAATGAGAGAAAAGAAAAAAAAATGGGAGAAAAGAATCTAGAGAATCAAGAAATATGAATTTAGAACCATTGTCAGCATTCAAGCCTGCATAAAAGGCAAATGCTGTTCTTCCTTATTTGAAAGATTTGGGCTACATAAATATTAGGAGACTTGAGATGAGGAGGAAGGAGGAAAAAGATGCTGACAAAATAGAGAGAGATTAAAAAACATTTTGAATAAGTAGGAGGCTCGAGATGAGATGGGAAGAGGAAAAAGATGATGATGGAAGCAACAGAGAGATGATAAACCCTACAAGGAGTAGGGATGCTACACACACAGGAGACTGTTGAAAAATTCTGAGGAGAAAAGGAAATTAAAAATTTATATATATATATATATATATATATATATTTTTTACAGCAAAAACCAAAATGACCCTACAAATTGGTTTTTGCTGTAAAAAAATATATGCTCTGTTATAATAAATACATTGAACTCTTTTAGTGGATCAGTTTTAATATTTGATATTACTATGATCCAACTGGATTACATGCCAACTGATCTATTGACCTGTAATATAGATATATATATATATATATATATATATATATAAATTTTTTATAAAATTCCCTTTTTGGTCTGCTTTTAGTTTCAAATTAACACTTCATTCTTTATATAACCCCAATCTAATGTCATAAGGTTAATATCTGGGTTTAATTTTATAAAATCTCTTCCCTTTAGGCTAATACCTTCAACCCTCTCCTGAGCACTGTCTTGTGCATTTCGTCTGACTGAAACATTGTCAATCTATACACCAGGGTTGAATAAGACTGACAAATTTGTTGGTTGAAATAGATCTATACCCCATATGTGGTAATTTTGGATTTTGTTGTGTAATACTATATAACACAGTTTAGATATAATATTTGGTTAAGAAACCAGAATGTTATGTAGTTTACTTAATATTTCATTGTTTGACATTTTCATCAGAAGATATTCTCAACTAAAAGCCAGAAAATGAATAACAGAGAAAATGCCTGCAGTTAGAGGCACCCAAGCGAACTTAATATTACACTGTTTGCCATTTCCATGTCAATTGTGTCTTTGATAGAAGCATGAATGTCAACTCCTGTAGACCTACTAACAATACCATATTTAAGTTCAGAGTTTAATGCACACTTTGTCAAATGAAATCCTAGCAAGTTGATGATATTAGTAATGGTGCTTTCAATATTTTTTGAATATTCTGATTTTTGAAAGAGAAAGTCACTTTCTTAAATATTGATGTGATGAGGATGCAAATAAACATTGAAATATCAAATAAAACATCCAACACTCATCTGCCAATCACATACAGATGACCTACAAGTATGTTATTTAGAATTAGTTATTCTTTATTATTTGAAATCATCTAGTGGATGAGATAATTTTTCATAGCACAGAATATTTACAAAAATCCATTTATGTACAAGAAATATCATATATATATATATATATATATATATATATATATATATATATGTAAATGAGAGAGGTTTAGACAGAATCACACTGGATCTTTGTGTGCATTTTTATAGCTACCCATAACTGTGCAGACATACAGTCACTTTGTGTGCATTATATATCACAGATAAGCATAATTATACAGACATTAATAACCTTATATATTTTTAGATGCAAAAATTCTGTACATTTGTTTTTAAAATTATCTAAATGAAAGAAATGAGTGAACTAAAACAAATCTTCCTAACTTTAAAGCCTTGTCTGTTTTACTGCTTAAAACACAATTTTCTGTGTGGTCTTTACTGTTGTGTATCTAATGAACAGAAAATACATTGCATATAAGTATGGCTATGAAAGATTTTATGAAAAATCAGCCTGAGGTTATTCTCTCTATATCTTTGCTGTATCCATTCAGGAGATCATGGCTCTCTCCAACTTCCTGTGTTTTGTTGCTTTCAGCAATACTTATTTGTAACCCCTGTTTATAGTACTTTTACCTCTGTTTGCTAAAACTTGTCAAGTAAGGTCACCTGCTGCTCTCCCCACTTCTCTTGCCTTCAGTAGACCCAGTTAGTGTTAGATTCTCTTAGCCTCTTTTCCTTTATTAATTTAAAACAAATTTTCTTTGTCATTTCTAGTCTCCTTAAAACTTCTTTGTTTCTCATTTATAGTATTCTCAGTATCCATCAGCAGACCCACATCTGTTCTTCAAAATTTTTCACATACCAGAAAATTGTCGAATATTTACTGCCATACATTTTGCAATCTTAATATTTTGTTTAGTTACTGAAAAAGTATTTTTGTGGCTGTCCCTAAGCACTTCTGGATTTTTGTGTTACAATTTTCATTATTATTCTATGATCTAAATAGTTAAATTTCACCACTGGATTTATTTTGATTTCTGTAATTAACACCATGTACTGTGGTCCTTTTACTGACAACTGTACATTTCCATCTTCTTTATAAAAGAGTTCTAAATAAAAGCAAACAAGAAATAAAGACATAAGGAGCAGCACTGAAAAAATCTAAACAAACATGATTTTTAAAAATTATATTAACTAGCTGATCTTTGAAGTAAATATATACTTAGAGAAGAAATCAAAGTACTGTGTGGACATTAAAATAAATACCAAGTCTTACTGGCCAGGTTCATATCTCATTGATGAGAGAACATTTTTTCATATTATCTTTCTTGGATGGTAGAAATAATAAATTTATTATTATAATTACCTAAATCCATATAATTATTTTTAGAAATAATTATGTTTTTGTATAAGAAGAAAAAAAGAATCAAAATTCACAATTTGTGCATGGTTTTTATTTGTGTAGATAATTGAAATGCATATTATTTTCAACTGGACTAAGTTTGAAACATTTTCTCCTTTCAAAAATTAAAAATTCAGTCTTCAATGATTTGTTTGAAAATCTTCATCTTTGTTATTTTTATAAGTTTCATCTGATGTGATTTTGATTCCAATTCCATTCAGTAATTTTCATTAAGAATTTTCTTGAATGAAATCTTTTTATTTTATCAAAATCTTTCGCATTTCATGCTTCTTGTGTCAGGTTGAGAAGTATTTCTAAAGTTGGAACTGATAATTTCCTTTCTAGCTGTTTCTACGCATTATGATTTGGTAAAGGGAATTTACAGGTAGGTGATAAAACAACTAGAATAAGGATAACAGTCTGGATGAATTGTTGAACAAGAATTTATCAGTGGACAGTGTAAAAACTGATTCACTTTTAAAACAAAATAATAATAATAATAAAAAAAAATACAGCCAAATACAATGAGTCATTCTCTATTTTTTGTTTTTAACAACCAATCAACTCTCCAGCCTTTTCCAGGTGTATATTGGATCTGTTAACTTATCATTCCTGTTCAAGATTTTATACTTTTTTTATTTTACTATCATCGTTACTTCAATAGAAAACTGAGTAATAAAAGCAACAAAGTTGAGTATACTAGCTTAAATAATTCCTGGATTAATGGCAATTAACAAGTTTAAAACCATAAGGTGCACGTGTGTCTTATACAAGCATTCAAATATCCAAAGAAGCTGTTGAAGGTGTTAATAATCTTAGACAGCATCAAATTGCATTTTTAGTATCAAGCAAGAATTTTACCTTGCACTAAATAAGCAAACAAGAATTTTCTTTTGTTGCTTCAGAAAGATTTTCAGGGATGACAGAATGATGAATTCATGGCCTTGGGCGAAGAAAGAAAGGAAAACTGTGTAGCACGTTATCAGCTGTGGGCCTGAGAACAAAGAGGAGCTTCAGTGGCAAGGTAGGAATGGGGTGGGTAAATGATGATGAAGAGGTCGATTGAAGAGGCTTGCTCTTGGGAAATGGTGAGCAGAAATAAAACAGACAGTAAGCATGTAATCTGAATGGAGGCATCGTGTCTGCATGGCGCCGCACAAATGAAGCATTGTGCAGACCAGCTATAAATTTACTATCTCAGTTCTAAGTCAAATACAGAGATAAAATATACACAACAAAAATGTGATCATATATATATATATATATATATATATATATATACACACACACACAAACATATCTTGACATGTATGCCCCTTTATACAAATGGACACACATACACAATCACATATATATATACATACAAACATATCTTGACATGTATGCTCCTTTATACAAATGAACACATATGCACAATCACACATTATATATATATATATATATATATATATATATGTGTGTGTGTGTGCATATCAAATGTGTGTGTGTGTGTATATATATATATATACACACACACACAAACATATCTTGACATGTATACTCCTTTATACAAATGAACACATACACACATATATATATATATATATATATATATATATATATATATATATATCAAACATATCTTGACATGTGTATGCTCCTTTATACAAATGAACACATGCACATATATATACACACAAACAAACATATCTATCTATATATATGTGTGTGTGTGTGTATGTATAGGGTAAATAAATTAAATATATATAATTAGTATTTTCCTTTTTGGTATATAAAATTAGCATAATTTTGGGATTTCCTTTTCTTTGGCCTTGTGTACATTAAGTGCCTTGGGTATGAATCTGATTTCCTTTCTTCATAATTTGTGCCTCTGACAGCTGAACTCAAAATCAAGAAAATGAAAAAAAAAAAAAATCAAAGCCTTGCAGTTTATAGAATTACCAAACTGATATATGTAAGCAAATACACAATATTAAATCATATTATATATATATATATATATATATATATACACACTGATGATTGGATCCTGTGCACTTGTTATCATGACTTAGCAAAAGTGACACACCATAGAGCAATTTATATTAACACTATACAGTTAAAATGTTCTTACTTGAAGTTTAAAACAATTTTTTACACTTAAGGCATCAGTTTATAGCTAAGTTTTAATTAATTTCTATTTAAGTGTAAACTGACAAAAATATTAGTGTTGCTTTTTTTATTTTTATTTATAAGACATGTTAATAATTAAACTTTGCAACAATTAACATTTGAAATTAATTATGACAGAAATTTTATAAAAAGGAAGTGACTTGATATCAAGTCTAACCCGTGTAAGGCACTATTTAAGCAAATGTTCTTAAAAAGAAAATGAAAAGTTTGTACAGTTTTGAAAATTACTATATTTGCTTGTTGAAGTCTACTTTCTCCAAAGAAAAAAAAATCTGTGTCCAATGTTTTTATGGATCACTGAAGATTTGGGTTGAACAGAGATGAGATGAAATATACAGAGTTGTTTTTGTTATAGTATTTTGGTAAAGAAATATGCTAAATTTCATCATGTAAGGTTAAAATGTTCGGTCTCCTGACCAGTGCATTTGACAGCTTCTTATAGGCAAGAAGTTAAGAATATTTAACATGAATGCATTCTGAATATTTTGCCAGATCATTTCCTCTTTGTTATTGAAAGCATATGAAGGAAAACATTTTAGAGAAATTTATAATTCCAAAGATTTAATAAACAGGATTTTTAAGCAATTAAAAATTTGTTAATTATGACAAAACTCATTTCGGCTGATTTATTTGAAATTAAATTGGAAATTTAATCTGATATAGCAAGCATAAACGTTACATATGCAAACTAATATATACCCCCAACTATAAGATTTTCATTACTGTTATAGGAACTTACCTATAACGATAATGGACTCTTCCTGACACTATAAATACTGTGCCTCTCAAGAGGTATAATGAATGAATGGTGTAACGAGTCGAGACAATATTAGTTCACTCTAAACCAGACAGAGAGTCATTACTAACACCTTCAACTTCTTGTACTATATTTCTGTTGTAATATATCTTTGTTATTCTACTCTTGTGTTCGTGTTGTTCTTTCTTGGTTCTAACCTTGGACCATAACTGTGGTGTGAGGATATTGGACCATAACAATTACTTAACTATATATATATATATATATATATATATGAAGAAATATAGTATTAAGGTGTGCTATATTTATGGGATAAAGTTCTCAATATCAGAGATAGAGCGTATCTAAATATAAATATAAAAGTGAACATTGAAGTCAACACTCAGAGGCCTGATGATTGAGTCCAGTATGAAACAGCCTGTTGACTGAGTGTTGACTTCAATGTTCACTTTTATATTTGTGTGTGTATATATATATATATATATATGTATATGTGTGTGTGTGTGTGTGTGTGTGTGTGTGTGTGTGTTTGCTTTATAGATGAGGTAGCTGCATATTTCCTAGTAGAACAAATGAGTTGTGTTTAAACCCAGTCAAAAGCCAACATTTCAAACACTGGGTTTTAACACAAACAAGTTTTCTAATTAAAAGACTGGTGCAATGAAATTGCTTAATTTAGCCTTGTGTCAGATAAAACTTTCTGAGTGTGTTCAGACATAACCTTCTTACATATGAAAAACATACCATATATATATTATGATTGCATATGGAGCAGGAGGCGGAAATAGGAGAGTAAGGTGAGTAATTCAAATGGAAGGAAGAGAGGGAGAGAGAGTAGAGGTGGAATGGGAGAAATAAATGGTCTTTCCATATAATTTCATCTACAAATCTTAAACTGTTTAACTGAAAGCCAAAAGGTGAAATACAGACAGAGATTACTTTTGTCTTTCTATTTTCTTTAAAGTCTATGAATAAGCATTGTACAGATAGATATGTTTGTATAAGTATGCATATAAGAGTGCATATGCATGTGTAACCATATCTGATATCTGTAAGCATCAGTATTTGTGATTATGTGCATAGATACATTTGCAAATGAATATACAGTTTTACATGTCCATGTATGCGCGCACACACACACACACACACACACACACATATATATATATATATATATATATATATATATATATATATATATGAGGAAGCATGGTGGAGTAGTGGACAGCAGCTCGAATTGAGGAATCAAAGAGCAGAGTTCAAATTTTAGTCAAATCCATTACATTCACTTATGTGCTAATCCCCTTGGGAAAGGTATTAATCCTCTTCTCCCTCCAGCTATGGGTAAATAACAGGATAGACTGGGTTCTATAGCCTTGGATGGCAACTGATCTAGGAGAAAGACAACAATTCAAAATTGAGTTCAAAACCTGTGGAGGGTTGTTTGAGAACTTGTGGCACATAGCACACCAGGTCTCTGTATTCAGCACTTCAAAAAGTATGGTTGGTTCTGCACAAAGCCATCACCACTATAATCAAATCATATGTGCTGGTGTCTGGCTGTTGGTTTCTAGAAACTGAGCTGTTTGACCCTCATATGTTGAATATAATGGGAAAGTTCACCATTATATATATATTTGGTTGGATAGATGTGAGTTTGTGACCTGGGTTTCACGCTTTAGCGATTGTCAAACCCAGGGTCATCTATCCAACCAAATATGTTAGCTCTATCTCTGATATTGAGCGCTTTCTAATAAGTACCAAATATAATATATAAATAATTATACATATTTATTTATATTTATATACACTTTTCACACACACACATATATATATATATATATATATATATATATATATATATATATATATATATATATATTATATATATTTTTTTATCAGGTAAAGAAAGATGGGATTTTAGGGCAACCCAAAAAGTCAACTTTTAATATTAGTTTATGTTACTAACTTCAAAGTGCCCAGTTTTCGTTAATGAAGTATTATCCTTCTGAACTTTTGGTTTGGCTTTCTTTTAAGTTTTGTTGCATTTTAGCACAATGTCCAGATTGTTTGTACATTCTACAACTATCAAGGAAGCAACATAAATAGATCAAAGTGTCATGTTAAACGGACTATTTGCCACACCCTACCCCATGGGATGACAGTATCTGTACATCCTTTGAAAAACATAAAAATCACACAAAAATATATATGTACACCCAGTGTGCTTTGCAGATGTATTATTTAATTTGTCACTTCTTAAAAGTCATTATCAGGGAGATAGATCATTGTTTAACCAGGGCCGAAAGATAATCATTGAAAAGCTAATCTAAGAACATTCTCCTCTTCTTTGTATTTCATTATTTAATTTTTAACAATATATATTCTCCCTGTACAAGGTTCAAGAGCAACTCTAGTTAGAAGATCACTGAGTAAAAGAGACAGCTTATGTGAATATCTATGGAAGGTAATGGTTAACCCTAAACTTGAACAGGTTAAGATTGTAGTGATCAGGAAAGCATGCTCTTGGGAGTCAGTTCCCTCAAAGCAATGGTTTCTGGGAAGAAGTTGCTTGAGCGTAACTTACATCTCACCAATGGAATATGAAGGGGAAGTGGTTTTCTATATGATTAGAATTGGTGGAGTTAAGGGATGTAATTTGTCTGAGCATTTTCCATTGAAATAGGGATAGAGTGGCGGGAGGCCTGTGATGTTTTGCTTGCGAGAAAGGGGTTGTAGGGTGGAAAATAATTTGTTATCCACAAGGACACAGATACACTTTTGGACTCTGTTGAGATCGGAAAGTGAAGACCGTGCAGCTCCTGCTCATATATGTCAGCAGTACTCCATTCATGACCTGATCTGGCTCTTGTAAAGGTCGTGGATATCAGGAAGAGTCAGGCACTTACTGGAGGGGTAGAGCGAACTGACAATTTTTCCAGCACCTTTATCAATAGATTGTATGTATGAGTTTTAAGGAATAATTTGTATTATGATGGCTAATATAAAATATTTTGCCTCACCAGTTTCAAATTGATGTTTGCTGGTGGTATTTATTGGTATTTAACAGTATCTATGGAGGAATGTATTGTGGCTTGGACTGAGGAATCAGAGACCAGAGTTTGGATTCCATTCAAATTTAATACATTCACTTATGTGCTAATGTCCTTGGGTATGAAACCATCTTTTCTCCCCTCAGCTATGGGTGGCAACTGGTCTAGAGAAGTAAAATTCTGAATT